TCACAGTCAGCATTTTTAAAGTAAGCAAGTGTTAGTCCTGACTCCTGCCTTTACTCTTCACTGCAAGTACTGAAGTAGAAGGCTGTTGCCTATCCCTTCATTCCATCCAAAACACCCCTGGCAACTAATATCCACATCCTTATTGTTGTCAAATCTCTTAAAAACAGATCTGGACTTCTTCCAGGTCTAAAGTTTTACATTTGCACCCTGATAAACACAGCTTTGTCAACTCTGAGAGGGAAAGAAAAAAAAGAAAACTGGGAGATCATGGCTTCATTGCATGGTCATGGTCTGCTCCTTAGAGGCAGCTCCATCCGTGGAACCAGGACTGCAGTGAGAAAATAGATTCCCTGTGTGCTGTTAAATAAAGATAAAAGCAGATATATCCACAGGGACACCCTGAGCTAGCCTGTGTGCCAGCACAGCATTCCCAAGTGCAGTGGCACTTTCAGCAGGGGCCACTCTGCCTGCAGGAAGGGCAGATGAGGACTATTGTTTTTCCATAGCAGAGGTTCCATGCCATAACTTTTGAATTCCTTTTTGGCCTCAGCCTCAAACTGTTCGTGGTGCCCACACAAACAGGAGAATACTGTGCATGGATCAAATCCTAAATTCCACTCAGTTATAGGAGACTTGTGCCACCTACATTGGCTTTGTGACTCACCAGCAGCACTTTGCCAGCTCTCCTGGCTCTGACACTCTCGCTTGCTTTTAAGAGTGAAAATAAGGGAAAATGTAAGATCTTTTCAGAGTCTCTGCTTTATTGTTTTATTCCTGCTCCCTGACTTCATTCTGAAAATCGGGAGAACTCCATTTAAGTGCTTGCTCACTGCATCTTCTAATGGGTATTAAGAGACAAATTTAGATGAAATTTTGGGTCGATGAAATATATTTTTAAGACAGTGAAATATATTTTCCAACAAAAGCAGTGAAGGTGAGTGTGTTTTACTTATTTCCTGTCTGACAAAACTCTGGATTGATTCTTCACTAGGGTGAGGAAGAAACTACTCAAATGACTTTGTATGGAAACTGCTCTAATATTTTTCATTCTGGTTGCATTTTTGATCACTTGGTTGTTACTGCTTTATGTTTTGAATGAATGAGCTGTTTCACTAGTTCTGATGGGAGCATTCTCTGTGTTTCTGTTGCAGGAATTGCTTATCTAGGAGGTGTCTGCAGTGCCAAAAGAAAATGTGTTCTTGCTGAAGACAATGGTCTCAATCTGGCATTCACAATTGCACATGAACTTGGGCACAAGTAAGAACCTGTCCTTTTGTTTCCTTCTTTACTTATGCCACTGCAGGATACTTTTATTTAAAGCCAGAGAAGTGCAATTACTAGAGTGGTGTGTTTGTTATGATTTCATAAATGTAGCACATTGATACATAACCTGATTTTCAGGAGGCTTATGTAAATACCCATTTTAGCACGCAGAAATCTTTCTAGCTGTTCTTCCCGTTTTCAGCTCTCTGTTCAGATTCTGAGTAGCACAAAGAGGCCTCAATCTCTTAAATGATTGACAGTAATAGAGACAAATTCTGATTTTCTTTACAAATTCTGTGTAGAATAGGTCCACAAAACCAACATGAGCTTCAAAAACTTTGAACTTGCGAAGTTTTTTTCTGAAAATCGGGTGTCTATATCAAGGACTTTAATAGTTAAATAGTTTGGTAATGGTTTCATCTCTGCATGTGAAGTAATCTGCTGTGACTGAAATGGTAAACATCAGTATTTTGGAAATGCCCTTAAGCAGAATTATTTGATCAACAGAAAGAATTTCTATAAATTGATTTATCAGCTCAATCACACCTTAGTAAGACACTTTGAACACACTGGAAAAAGCAAGAAAGAACATGACAAGTCCTAGTCAGACAGCAATTTGCAGAATGAGATTACGGGGTGCTTTCTGCAGGTGACTTTGGAGACTCTTTAAAGCTGCCTGTAAATATCCCATGGGCAGAAGAAAACAAAATTGACTGGAAGAGTCGACTGCATGCTGTTAGTGCAGATAATGAGTTAGCCAAAGGTGAGCTCCACATTCCCTGCTCTCCAGGCCCAGTGTCACTTACTCAAAACACTGAAGAGCTTTTTCCCCTTTCCATTGGCATCACTCTGGTTCCAGTGTCACAATTAGGCTGTGGAAGGTACAGAATTAGGCCAGGAACAAAGTTTTACTGGGGGCAGGACTGTGCCTGGGGGGTTTTCAAGCACTCTTTCCTTCAGCCTTTCTGGATGTAAGGTGGAAATCCCACCTTTGTTCCTGCAGTAAGAAGTTGTGCCTGAGGTTTTCCTGCACCCTTCCTACAGCTCATGTGTCTGGTGTATCTTCCTTTCCTGCAGTAAGAAGTATTTCACAGCTAAGTCAGAGCCAATGGAGCATGTTCAGGTTCTGGCCAGTCTCATTCCATGACAAATAATTATTTTATGGCAATGTATTTCAAAGTTGCGTGAAGGATATTTAGGTTACCTACCAAAAATGAATCTCCTGTTCACCCTCCAGTGACACCAAAGGCAGCTGAGCCAAACCGAGGGTGGTTTCAGCAGAAATGAAGGACATTTGGTTTTGGTTTTATTTAGATTGCATGCCAAGATGTTAAACTGAGCCTAAACTTAATAACAAATTAACCTGTGGGTAATGCTAAGGGAAATTCAGCACTCATCCTTGGATGGGCCAAGAGCAAGAGGGAAAAACACTTGAGCTGCAGAAAATCCAGCTGTGTGAAAGAGTGAGACTGGTCTGCCCTGGTGTTTGCCAAGTTTCTCAGCAGAGCTGACAAGCTTCCTTCAATAATGCCTTACAAAAAAATCCCCATCATAAATAGGGGATGTAATGCTTTCAGATATGGCTCTCCATCTGTGCAGAAAATTGCAAACTCCATTTTCATTTCTGAGGGCAGTTTTGGTGGTAAGACCATAATGTCTTTCCTCTGCTGGTTTTCTTTTTTTGCCTTCATCTTGGAAAACTATTTCAGGAGTACTGGAGGGGTGTGGGGGTCAGTAAAGGTCAGTTTAGGGACCCAAGGCATTGGGGTAATGTGGTTTTGGGAGGGCACAGGAGCCAGGAGGGCTCCAGCTGAAGGTTGTAGAAGCTGTTGGGAGGATTTTGCTGCCACAAGGGTTCAGGGACATGTTCCAGGTTCTCTCACTCCACAAGGAGCTGCAGTTCTCTGTCACACATTGGGGCTAACCTTTCTGCCCCCTCTGCCTTGCCACCAGCAGCCTAATCAACCCCCAGTGCTGCCACATCAAAACAGAGAGGGGGAAATGCCACGTCTGTCACCCCCCAATTGAGCAACAAAATCATCCCTCTGTGCCACCCACCAGTGGCCTGGCTGCTCATTTCAACCTCTGACCAGTTGTCTGGTGCCTTTCTGGAGGCCAACAGCAATCTTTTCATTGACATTGCTAGGTGTCAGGCCTTCTTCTTTTGGTGTTGGCCTGCAATAAGATGCTCTGAGCAGTCATGTTTCAGCACATCTTGTGCAAATAGAAGAATTCTTTGCAGAGTTTAGTGGTTTTGAGTGAAATGTAAGGAAACCCATTGCAGACAGGAACACAAAGAAGCTGACACGAGCTTTAAAAATGAAAACCGAGGAAAACTAGGTGCAAGTTTCTTAATTTAAAACAAAATCCAATCAAAACTTACATCCATATTGGCAAAAATATAAATTTTGGAAAGCCATAATTTTGAGCTTTATTGAAGTCTGATTTCCTTATGAGTGTAGAAAAGCTGAGATTTATTATTCTTTCCTTAAGACTAACAAATGTCTGTGGAGATCACAAGCCCATTTTGGCATTCACAGATAGTTTCTGATGTGGACTTTGGAAAAAGTGAATGGATTACTAATTGATGTGTCAGATTCCTAATCTGCCACTAATGTCATTTGGACTGACTGCAAAAAACACTATTCAGACAGCTGTGCTGTGAAAACATGGAGACACCATTAAATACATCCATTAGGAAGAAATAGGTCCTATGAAAGTTGAAGGATGAAAGTTCATCTTCAGGTTTAACCTGTGGAATTGTTATGATGGGGTGAGGGATGTGACTTTTGTATTTAAATCTCCAAGTCTGGACTGAGAGTTTTGGTCCATGGGCACAAAGGGAACATCCATCTGTATTTAGATACAAATTTTCTACAGAGGATCCAGGAGAAGAGTCTTGCTGTTACAGAAAGGTAACAGGCAGGGAGCCCAGTGAATGTGTATTGAGGCTGCAAATCACAAACCTCACATAAGACAGGAGCCTTAGCAAGCCTTGTTCCTTCAGTCAGCTGGGTCAGCAGTGGATGCCTTTTAAAACAGCACACTTGAGTGTGACCAGGATTTGTTGGGTTTTATCCAGGGTTTGTTGGGTTTTATCCAGGGTTTGCTGGGTGGGTCCTGACCTACACAGAGATCACAGTGGTCACTAAAGTCTTAAAATGTACCAGTCTAAGGTCTTCATATTATAAACATAATATGAACACTGACATTTCTTACCCTCATCTTTCCTCAGAATTGTGGGCAAGTCCATTAGTGAAAGCCTAAAAGTGCCCTGCTTTTGTCACCAGGATCCTGACTGGTGCCTCTCTCCTCCTCCACCTCCTGAACTGCACCAGTGTGAGGCTGATCTGAGATTCACACCCCAAAGACCACCCTGAACAACCGACTTGGAGAAAAATAGTGCTACTTCCCCTCCTCCTACTTCCCTCTTTGCCTACAGCAGTGACTTTGTTACCATTTTTAAGTCCTTCTCCAAAGAAAAAGTCCAATAAGTTTTTGGAGACAAAAGCTGGGATTCATCCGTGTATCCGTTATCCCGGCACCGAGCGGGGTGGGCTGCAGCCAGAGGTTTTTCAGGACAACAATGCCAGCTTTGTTGCCATTGCTGTTTCTTTCAACAGCCTCAGCTTTCCTGTTGTGGAATGGGGTAGGCTTGGGTGAGGAGGGAAGATTCCCATTCATGAGCCAGAGGAACCTGGCACTGTCTGGATAGGGAGGGAATGGCCCGAGGTGGTGTGGCTGGGAGCCACGCTGGGGCAGATGCCCTTAGGAAAGGGGATTAAAATCAACTGACAATAAGCAAGGAGCTGTCTCTTGCCAACAACCTGAAACCCCACGGCCTCAAACTTGAAGCTGAAACAGATGAGGACAAAAACTAGTCCAAAGGTAAAAGCCCATAATGCACAAACCAAACAGCTCAGGGCTTGGAATCAGACAGGAGAAGGGTTTGGAACTGCCAGGTTTCTCTCCATTGTGCTTATTTGCTTTAGATGTTAGGTATTGATAGCTGTAGCTTGGTTAAAATTACTTCAGGGTGCATAATTATTCGCTGCTTTTGTGGTGTGTCTCAAGCATTGTGGTATTGCAGGTGAGGGAAGAGCACTCTGCACTCTGTATGTTCCCTCTGTGGCCTGGTATTTGTGCTGATGGACTTGTGAATAACAGTGGCCTCCCTGATCTGTTGTTCTGCACCCAACAGAGAGATTCATGCAGATGTGCCAGAATGTGAAAGCATTGCAGGCTGAGGAGTGTCCCAGAGCAGATCCCAGAGGTACAGAGTGATGCCCTGTAACAATTAGCACCAGCAAACCCAGTCACTGTGGTGCAGCTAGTCAGGATTCCTGAAAACCAAGCAGGAAATTTTCCCCCTTCTCCCCTGCCCCACAATTTATAAAGAATTTATCATAATGCATTTTAAAAATGAAAAGTTTCATGTGGATGCTGAGGACTACTCCAGTAAATGTGACAGATCTGTGCAGACAGGTAGTGTTGCAGAGTGCACACTGTGCTGATAGAAACCTCTTTCTTTTCCTGGATCAGCCTGTCCTGCCATTCCAGTCAGTACAGTGCCAGCAGCACTGGAGCCAGACAGCCAAATCATGGTGCTGGGGCAAAGGCAGTGCTTCTGGAAGCCATGGTGAAATGGAGGGACCTCTGCTAAGAATTCTCTCCTTTTATCCTGGGGTTATGACATTTAGGTGCAGGGTATGGGAGCTGAGAAGCTGTTTTGAAAGAAAAAATGCCAACAACCCTCTTTTTCAGAGCAGCTCAGTACAGTCTAACCCTTGAACTCGGGGCTCTACCAGTGGAGGCAGCTACGTGTAGTTTCTGTCCTGGCTGATTTTAAACATTAACTCTATTTAAAAAAAAAAAAAAAAATCTTTCACCTGGGCTTCTTTATCTTTTCTGTGTTTCTCTGAGTTAGTCCCACATTTATCAGGCAGGTTCTGCCTGACCTGAATTTCTGTGGAACATTTTTCTTTGTTGCTGTT